CAAAAAAAGGAAAACTTCAGGTCAATATCCCTGATGAATATCGATTCAAAAATCCTCAACAAAATACTGGCAAACTGAATCCAGCAGCACATCAAAAAGCTTATCCGCCATGATCAAGTTGGCTTCATCCCCAGGATGCAAGGCTGGTTCAACATATGTGAATCAATAAATGTAATTAGTCACAGAAACAGAACTAAAGACAAAAACCACATGATTATCTCAATAGACACAGAAAAGGCCTTCGATAAAATTCAACATCCCTTCATGTTAAAAATTCTCAATAAACTAGGTATTGAAGGAACATATTTTGAGTTCCTTAAAAATAGTAAGAGCCATATATCACAAACCCACAGCAAATATCATACTGAATGGGCAAAAGCTGGAAGCATTCCCCCTTGAAAATTGGTACAAGACAAGGATGCCTTCCCTCGCCACTCGTTATTCAACATAGTATTGGAATTTCTGGCCAGGGCAATCAGGCAAGAGAAAGAAACAAAGAGCATTTAGATAGGAAGAGAGGAAGTCAAATTGTCTTTTTTGCAGATGACATGATCCTATATCTAGAAAACCCTATCATCGCAACCCAATAGCTTCTAAAGCTTATAAGCAACTATAGCAAAGTCTCAGGATACAAAATCAATGTGCAGAAATCACAGGCATTCCTTTACACCAACAACAGGCAAGCAGAGAGCCAAATCATGAATGAACTCCATTTACAATTGCCACGAAGAAATAAAATACCTAGGAATACAGCTAGCAAAGGAAGTGGGGGAACTCTTCAAGGAGAACGACAACCACTGCTCAAGAAAATCAGAGGACCAAAGAAGATGGAAAAGCGTTCCATGTTCATGGATAGGAAGAATCAATATTGTCAAAATGACTATACTGCCTAAGCAACTTATAAATTCAATGCTATTCTCATTAAACCACCATTGACTTTCTTCACAGAATTAGAAAAAAAGTATTTTAAAATTCATAAAGAACCAAAAAAGAGTTCATATAGCCAAGATAATCCTAAGCAAAAAGAACAAAGCCAGAGGCATCACGCTATCTGACTTCAAACCGTACTACAAGGCTGCAATAACCAAAACAGCATGGTATTGGTACAAAAACAGGCATGTAGACCAATGGAACAGAATAGAGAACTCAGAAATAAAACTGTGCATCTACAACTATCTCATCTTCAACAAAGTTGACCAAAACAAGCAATGGGGAAAGGAATCCCTATTTTAACAAATGGTGCTCAGAGAACTAGCTAGCCATATGCAGAAAATTGAAACTGGACCCTTCCCTTATACCTTATGCAAAAATTAACTCAAGATGGAGTAAAGACTTAAATATAAAACCCAGAACTATAAAAACCCTAGAAGAAAATATAGGCCATACCACTCAGGACATAGGCATGGGCAAAGATTGTGTGATAAAATCGCCAAAAGGAATTGCAACAAAAGCAAAAATTGACAAAGGGATCTAATTAAACTAAAGACCTTCTGCATAGCAAAATAAACTGTCGTCAGAGTGAACAGACAACCTACAGAATGGAAGAAAATATTTGCAATCTATCCATCTGACAAAGGTCTAACATCCAGAATCTACAAGGAACTTAAGCAAATTTACAAGAAAAAAAGAACCCCATTAAAAAGTGGGCAAAGGACATAAACAGACATTTCTCAAAAGAAGACATACACATGGCCAACAAATGTGAAAAAAAGCTCAACATCACTAAATATTAGAAAAATGCAAATCAAAACCATAATGAGATACCATCTCATGCCAGTCAGAATGGTGATTATTAAAAAGTCAAGAAACAACAGATGCTGGCGAGGTTGCAGAGAAACAATTTTACACTATTAGTAGGAATGTAAATTAGTTCAACCATTCTGGGAGACAGTGTGGTGATTCCTCAAAGATTTAGAACTGAAAATATCATTTGACCCAGCAATCCCATTACTAGGTATATACCCAAAGGAATATAAATCATTCTGTTATAAAGGTACATGCACATTTATGTTCACTGCAGCACTATTCACAACAGCAAAGACATTGAATCAACCCAAATGCCCATCAGTGATAGACTGGGTAAAGAAAATGTGGTACATATACACCATAGACTACTATGCAGCCATAAAAAGGAATGAGATCACATCCTTTGCAGGAACATGGATGAAGCCAGAAGCCATTATCCTCAGCAGACTAATGCAGGAACAGAAAACCAAACACCACATGTTCTCACTTATAAGTGGGAACTGAACAATGAGAACACATGGACACAGAGAGGGGAACAACACACACGGGGGCCTTTCAGAGGAGAGCGGAGGTTGGGGGAGAGCATTAGGAAAAATAGCTATTGCATGCTGGACTTAATACCTAGGTGACAGGTTGATAGGTGCAGCAAACCACCATGTTACACATTTGCCTGTGTAACAAACCTGTGCATCCTGAACATGTACCTTGGAACTTTAAAAGAAGATGTAAAAATTTTTTAAGAAAAACAAAAACAAAGAAATAGCATTTAAAAAAATAAAATAAGGGGAAGAAGAGATTTAGGAAGACTCAAAAAGATTAAGAATGCTGTAGTAAGTATAAAATACTGTATATAAACTTATGGTATAATTATGTAAAATATAATCACTTTACTGTGAAAGAACCCCCAAAAAGTTGTTTACATGGTTGGTTTCCACATTGAGGAAGTTACCAAACTAGACTGCAAGAGTCTGCAAGGGTAGTTTTCCACCTAGTTCCCAAATCCTCAGCAGAAAGAACCTTACCTGCTTAGTGATCACTAGATCTTTTTTATTTGAATCAGGAAGGTCAACTATAAAAGTTAGTTTTATATAAATGTATGACAAATGGAAGCAGTAACACTGTGTTTCCATAACTTTTGCCTAATTCTATCTTAAATTTCCTTGGGGAAATACGACTGATGGTTGCCATACCTGATTCAGAGGCACAGCTTGGAAGGAGAGATCCCATTCACCATCAGCCTTTGAAAAGGAAAGAAATGTCATTGAGAATAGCCACAAACATTTTAGAGGCTTCCAGAAGATGTATGGTAGCATGATTTGACAAGGAATTAAGTTATTCATATGACAGTTTGGCCAAAATTATGAGATTATCAAAAGCAAATATTTTTATATTGGTACATTTGGTGCCCATGTGGTGATTTTACAGCTTTTCAGTAATCCTGTGCAGTTTTAATAATTGCCCAGTATGTTTTTCCTATTTCCTATTATGTATTTCTAAGATTTGTCCTCTAGATTTCAAATTTCCAGTTAATTTCTAGGGAAATAAATGTTAATAGCTTCTAAGAGTAGAGTAGGAAATAATTTAAGTGTTCAAAAATTAGGAATTTATTGATTAAAATAAAATATGGTATGTCTGTACAGTTGCATAGGCTACAGCCATAAAACTTTAGTATCACTTGATGTGGATAGATGTTAATATCATGTTAAATGGGAAAGCAGGTAATGAAACAATGTCTTTCAAACTATGAAATACGATGACATTCCTAGTTTTTTGAGAATTTTAATGTAAGTTAGTTTCATAATGCATCCGCATAATCAAATCAATTTTCTTTGCTTTAATAACATGGACCAAGTCTTTTTTTTTTTTTTTTGAGACAGGGTCTCGCTCTGTTGCCCAAGCTGGAGTGCAGTGGTAAAATCACAGCTCACTGTATTCTTCTCAACTTCTTGGGCTCAGGTGATCCTCCTACTTAAGCCTCTTGAATAGCTGGGACTACAGGTGTGTGCCATCACACTCAGCTAATTTTTTTGTATTTTTTGTGGAAATGGGGTTTCATCATGTTGCCTAGGCTGGTCTTGAACTCCTAGCCTCAAACAATCTGCCCTCCCAGGCCTCCCTAAGTATTGGGATTACAGGCATGAGCCACCACAATTGGCCTACATGTTCCAAGTCTTACCTAAAAATTTTAATAATCTTTGCCTGTTTTGCTACCATACTTTTATAGTTTTTAGCATATGCTTTTTATATAACTGGTGACAAAATTCCTTCCATCTAGGAACCTGCACTACTGAAAAATTTTAAATCTGTATTCAGTTTTGTTTATATGAGTTTTTTTCCTTCTTCAAAGTGAATTCAAGCAAATATCTTATTAACTTTGTAGCCCTCATGATTCAACAATGTTTAGGTTGAATATATATTTTAAATGCTGGATTAGTCAAAAGTAGCAAGTTTTTTTATTCTGTTGGAGTAAGGATTAAACAGAAGAGTATTATATCCACATTGAAAATCATTTCTGTATATTTTATTACCAGGGAGTAGGTCAGGATTTGGCAGGCACAACAATGGGTTACAGGTCAAAGGTTTTGTGCGTGGTAAGGAGAATCATCTATCTATCCCTTTTTGCTTATTTTCTCTCTTTTCTCCAAGGCTCCTCAGACTTGGCCTTCCTTCTAGCTCAAACCTGAGCCTTGAGGAAATATCTTCAGTGTGGCACTGCACACACCACTGTTGGTGGCCTCAACTGGACATGCCTTTGATCCTGGGGCATTTAGTCTGCTTAATATTCCCAGTGGTTGAGAGAGTTTCCCAAGCAGGTGAAGAAAGGCAGCCCACAGGCTTCTGAGTGGGCGTGCCATCTTTACTGCCCCAGGCTCCTGTTGGTGATGATACTTAGTGTGGAGTTGGCTTGCACTCCTAGTCACTTAGAGCTGCTCCCACCCCTGCTCCTGCCCTTTCTCTACCACCAGCTCACAAAGGAGGGAGTGAATAGAAACCCAGCTCTCCTATTGCTTCCAAACTGCTGGCTGCTATTGTAGGAGGATAAGCTAAAACTGTAATGAGTTCATTTTTGATGCTTTGTCTTTTGCTTCTGAAATCTAAATGAGAGAGAGAGGCAGGGGATAATTCTTGCTAATATAAGATTCTAATCAATTAAAATTCTGTGGATTTTTCACAGAGTCAGCTTAAATAATATTTCTTTGGCTTTCCACAAATATATTTATAATTTTTTAATTGCCTTTTTTTTATTCTTGAAGAACAATGTGTATTCTGGAGGTAGCATGGCAAGAAGGAATACATATGTCTGTGAAAGGACCACAGATCGATACACAGCATTGCAAAATGGAAAAGACAGCAGGTAAATGCCACAGTGCCAAGTAGTAATACCTTTACTATTGTTCTGTGTTAGTGCCCTTGCTGAAATGCCTGCAGCCGAATGGGTCAGGAGAAAAGGAGTTATTACATGAAATAGTAAGATTGCAACCCAACCATTCTTACTGAGACATCTCCTGTACCAGGATAGAAGGTTGGGAAAACATTTAGAGAAAACAAGAAATAAATCTTTTTACCTGCCAATTTCTGAGTAAAATCTGATAGTAAATATTTTTCTGTAACAAAGCAGATCATACCATCCTAATTTCATCTTCATAATTTGAATCTTTTTCTTTTGTGCACCTGCTGCCTCCTTCCCTTTCACCTCCCATCAAGTCATTACCATATCTGAATAAAGGCTTTATTTTCCTCCCTCTGAAAAAAATGTGGCCATCTTATTTCTCATCATTCAGAACCACATAATTTTTAAAGTGTTTTATTTCAAATAATAATAAATCATAGTATTTGTATTACTTAAAAAATGTATCTTCTTTCTATCATGAGTTACAAGGACTACTCATCAATATAGTACAAAGACATGGAGCCTATTCTAATGAAATTATTTTCTTAGTACCACCTACAGTCATTTCAGTAGTGTGTACAAACCATTCTTACATTTGTTTCTTCTCACTTAATAAGAATGTAAAGTAAGTGCTATTGTAAGGCATACAAAGAAAAATGTATCTTCTTTGTACATAAGATAATTGGAAATTGAGTTCAGACTTACAATTTTTCTTATACTAAATTTTAAGCTGCAGCTCCTTTAATCTGCAACAGTTAACCTATTGACCATGATATGATCTAAAAGTGTTTTGATGAATCCAGAGATAATATTTTTGGTATAATTATCAATTCTGATTGTATGAATAATGGACAATGAACTACAGCAACATATCACACCAAACTGGTTTTGGGGAAGTAAAAAATGACTCCAGTCATAATAATTTTATCTGAAATTATTGTATATCCACAAAAATAATTTTGTACTTTCTCCCATTTACATACATAAAGTGTGTGTGAGATTTTTTTTCATGGATAATAGTGATAAATTCACCCTGTATACTTTTCATAAGAATATTAATTGTTTTGTTAGTCATTAATAATGCCGCTATGCTAGTTTCTTTCAAATGTTTCAGTCATGAAAGGTGTTAGTTTAAAATATAAAAAACTGTAAAAATATAGTTCTTAAATTTTAGTAAACCACAATTTTTCTTCTTTTTTACATTTCCATGGTCTTCTCAACTGCTTTATGGTGAAAGCCTTACGGAGATGTCTGTGAGTAGCATATCTTCTGCAGGCTCTTCTGTGACCTCTGCTGTCCCCTCAGCACGACCCCGCCACCAGAAGTCCATGTCCACTTCTGGTCATCCTATTAAAGTCACACTGCCAACCATTAAAGATGGCTCTGAAGCTTACCGGCCTGGGTAATGTGCTGGTTACATCTCATTTTGTTCATTAAGCATTTCTAAAAATATAGCACCATGTGAAAATACATGATAGTCACCATCACATTAAGACCTTTCTAATAAGATTCAGTGTTTGTAATGGGGGAAAAATTGAATTGTAACATAAACTTTCTATGTACTTTGGCTGTTGTTGGAAATGTTACGTATAACTTAAATCATTTTCTAGAGGAATTTTTTTAAGGATTTGATTTTACGTCCATCCCCATAAAGTTAAGAATTGCTGCTTAATTTGTCATTTAGGTAAACGGATTTTGTTATGATTTAAACACATACAAACAAACACTAGACTGGGAGTTGAGACCCACGGATAATGATCAGGCTGAATTCCTTGTTCTTAATGAAACTAGACTTCAGTTTTCCTGTCAATGAAACTGATGAACTCAAAGAGCCTGTTCAGATATAAAATTTTGTAATTGTTTTTCTAGTATTTTTCTATTTTAAGATTTCTCAAATTCAGTACCTCTGAGCATTTTAACCCTCTGTTAGATTTGTTGGGCATATTGGTAGTACCATGTGATGTTGTACCATCACTGAGGCCTAAATTAGAAATAGGAAATTATTTTATTCAAAGCCTTTTTAATAAGCAATAAAATTTGTGTTCAACATTGATTGCTAAGTGGTTTCAGGAGAATATTAAAAAAATATTTGCAGTACCCCTGGTTTGGCGTTTGTGATACTGAAAAGTATTTATCTTTGTGTCCCTGTTTCAGTCATTTCTTAATTTTTAGTGACCAAACAAAAGGTACCTAGTTTCAAACTGAAATTTTACTCCTCTCCAATGATATAGTAAATAAAATTAACCCATGTCTCACATCTCTAATGTGAACAAATAAAGTAGGGCCAAAAGAAGTAGTCATAGCTATTTGTTTCAAGTTTTTAGCATAAGTGAAAGGTTTTCCTGTCATTATTCTAAATGATATATCTTAATTTGTCCCAGCAGTATAACCCAGAGAGTGCCTGCTGCTTCCCCATCTGCTCACAGTATTAGTACTGCGACTCCAGACCGGACCCGCTTTCCCCGAGGGAGCTCAAGCCGAAGCACTTTCCATGGTGAACAGCTCCGGGAGCGACGCAGCGCTGCTTACAATGGGCCACCTGCTTCACCATCCCATGAAACGGGTGCATTTGCACATGCCAGAAGGGGAACGTCAACTGGTATAATAAGCAAAATCACATCCAAATTTGTTCGCAGGTCAGTACCAATGTACTGTCGTGTTTTGTTTCCTCTAGAGATTATGAAGGAAACTTGACTTTTTTTTAATATTTATAGTAATTTTCTAAAATGGTTTCATAACATTTCATTAGAGCTGCTCTTTTACAGAGTTGGAAGAAAAAAATCTAGGAAGACATAAAGTATTTTTCCTTAAGAGAGAGAAAGAAAAAAATGGACAAAATGAGATTTTTAAAATCTGTAAAATAAAATGGAAAGAACAAAAACTTGACTTCAAAAATGTGTTTTAACAAAAGATTTTTATATTTGAAAGCCGTGATTGAGGAAAAGAAATGAGTTTACATGTTTCCTTCAAATTTATCTTGACAATACTTTTAAATTGCTTACTAATAATATATCATTTACGTTTTTTTCTTCTTTGCATAAAAAGCCTACACACCAGAGTCACAGATCACTTATGTAATTTTATATCATAAAACCTTATCATCACAACATAGTAAACGCAAAATGAATATATGTATAGTAAAAGTCTAATCTACTTAAACAATACAATTATACTTTCTAAAAAGTAAGCATACTTACTGTGTTTACTATGCATACATGTACAGTGCACATTGATGATACAAGTTGCTACTACAATGCAGGCTGATGTCGATTTGATCTATTCCGGTGTCCCACTAAATGCCTACTTAAGCCCTGCGACAAGCAAAGCACTGTGTTAGGTGCAGAACAGAATCTAAAGATAGGTAAGACGGCATCTGTGCCCTCCAGATTCTTATAGTCTTGTAAGAAGCAGACAAACAACTAGCTGTGATATAAAGCAGAATATGTGCTAAAAAGTGTGGGCAACATGCTGGATTCCAGAGGAAGATAGAATTGTTTCTATCTAGGGAGACAGTGAAGGCACCCTATCATATAATCATTTCAGCTGAGCCTTCAATGATGGGTAAGAAATAATTATACTTGCTTTAAGAAATACTAATTAAATACTTAGTTTCCAATGTTATTACTGTTCCTAGGATTTCAGAGAGTGGATGTGGAAAAGAGAAGAAGCAGCTTCAGTCTTACGTGCCTTGTCATGGAGCTATTTATAGACTTGGTTCATATATCAGTTTGCCCAGTATCACATAGCTGAATTAAAAACTTTTAAAGCCTCAAATGTAACATAAATTTCTAACCATATCAGTCAGTGACTTTGTACCATTTGGGCAATTACTATGCAGCATGACAACTTGCTACAGAAAGAACTAAAAGTTCACCAACAGAGTCAGCATGGAAGGTAGATCACGGTGTTAGCCGGCCATCTGCAGGGTACTAGTCAGAATATCAGTAGTTTCTGCTTTTGGAATTTGTCTATTTAAGGCCATTTCAAAAAGCCAGTACTTTCTCACGGTTAAGCCAGAATTAAAGTGAAGAAAAATAGGTTTGTAGTTTAGTGCTTGATTACTAATTGTGCATTAAGCATTGTGCAAAATATTTCTCTTAACTCTGCAACAAAAATTTAGACTCTAGGGGAAACAGTACTGTGGAAAGGAAGTCATGAGATAGAATGTCAAAGCAAGAAAGTGCCTTAGAGCTGGTCTGTTGGGAGGTTCTGATAAAGGACTGCCATATAGTCATTGAACACATATGTGGAGACCTACATGCAAGGCCTTTCATAGGAGCTATTGTACAGCAGCAAGTGAGACTGATGGGGCTCCTGCCATCCTGTGAGCAACTTAACTGTCTTGAAACATTCCACACAGTTAAAGCATTTCCCTTGCTTGGCTCTGGTTTTCTCCTACCTCACAGGCTAGCTATCGCTTCTCAGACTTCTTTGCTGGCTTTTTTCAGATTCCCTTGCCTTTCCCCCAACCTCTAAATATTAGAATGCCCCAGGGCTCAGTCTTTGGACATGTTTTTTTCTCTGGTTTTCCTTACACTCTTGGTGATCTCAGTCAGGCTTATGACATTAGATTCCATCCTGTGTGAACAACTCCCCAGTGTATCTCCAGCCCACATCTCTCTCCTGAACTGCAGACTCTTACATCCAACTGCTGCTCAGCCTCTCCACTTAGATACATTATAGACTCTGAAACAGAACATGTTCAAAACCCTACTCTCGTTCCTCTTCCCATGCTTATCCTTCCCTCGTTCTTCACTGTCTTAGGAATTGGCAGCCTTGTCCTGACAGTTGCTCGGACCATAAGCCTTGGAGTTGTCCTTGACAATTCTTTTCCTCATGCCACATCAGATCCATTGGCAATTTGTGTGGGCTTTACCTTCACGGCATTTCCAGGATTTAGCTGCTTCCATCACTCCCGCCACTGCCTTCATACTCTGAACCACTCTTCATCTTTCACCACCTCATAGTTCTGCTAGTTTCTGCCCTTGTCCTCCTCTTCTGTTTCAGCAGTGTCATGTCAATCTGATCATGTCACTCTTAGATTTAAAGCCCCTGACTAGCTTTTGCTTTGCTTAGAATACAATGCTGTGCCCTCGCCATAGCCTGTGGGGCTTTGTGTAACCTGACCATCCATTTCTGCTCTAACCTCTTCTTCTCCCACTCTTCTTCTTGCCACTTCCACACCAGCCACCCAGGCACCAGACTGTCCTCAAGTACATTAAGCACTGTTTTGGCATTGTGTACCTGCTATTCTTTCTGCCTGCAATTCTCTGCCCTAAATACCTGCATGGCTCACTTCTACACCAAACCTTATGAGTTTCTAACCATAGCTCATTCTTATATAGGGAATAACCCAATTTGTTCAGTTGAGTATACATTGCTATGTGTAGGTCATTGTTTTTTAAGTGTTAAGTGTTGGAGAGCATGCTGTGCTGCATATGCTGTTAGAGCCAGCTGCACCTTCTGTAGCCCCATCTGCCTCCTACCATGGCTACTTAAAGCAGACTTCCTGGGCTCTTTGAAACAATTGCCAATAGCAGAAATTCTTCCAATGTTCCTACTGGCATCCAGGTAGGCAGGAACAGGATATGGGTCAATCGCGATTTCAGTCAATTATAGCAGAGGAAATAGGGTCTAAGGGACATTTCACTCCTAATGCTTTAAGTTAAGCAGCTGTGGAATAGATGTTTGCTAATAGTGAATAATAAAGCATAATATAAATAGGACAGAAAAGTCCAGTGAGATTTTTGTCCCTTCCTAAAGGAATTTTGTCTTAGCAGTGGGAGTCGACAGCATTACTGTCTTGCTTGCCAAGTTGGTACACTGCCCATCTGTGTGTATCAGTTCATCTACATGTAACTGAAAATGTACATTTCACTTTGAGCCTGCTCAAAAATGTTTTATTTATTTCAATGTGCTGTAATAAAAATGGATTTGTATAGATGGCATTGAATTTTTATTATTCTTCCCAATGAAAATGCCAGTTATTAAAAATAGAAATTTAAGAAATTACATTTGAATGTGAGAATACATTTTAGTATTCTTTGAAATTCAGATAGAAAAAAATTTTTTTCATAATATGTTTGTTAAGAAAGGCATGTATTAGTTAAAGACCCTGAGAGGCATGAGGCATTCATATTCTTAAGAACAATTTAAAATTTTAGAACTTGGTGTGTGGGTATGTTTTATTAATTTGGGGGATGGGAGAGTACCACTGATTTTATTCTTATTGCATTAATTTTACGTAATTAATAGAAATGTTTCTGGAATGGCTAAAACATTAAGACAACATTAACTTAAGGATTCAAGTTGGTGATTTTTCCCACTATTTAATAGTATTTTACCCCCTATCACAAGATATTTAATTACCTTTAAAAATAGCAAAGCATTAAAATTTTGGTAGACTTCAAAAATATTAATTACATGCAACTCAGAACAATTAGTAGTGTTTTCCTGGTTTTATTTCACAGGTGGATATCCAGGTAAGGTTAGTGTTTTTATTTAAGATTGAATCCATGTTTTTAGACTCGCCTACATGGATAGGCTGTTAATTTGCTGTAATATTTTATCATGTGCATGAATTGTTAGCATAACTTCTAAGAGAAATTGCTTATTTAGAAATTGGTATTTATTTGCTAACTACAAAGTTAATGTATATATTTTCTAAATTGAGCGACTACTAAAATTATACATAATCACAAATTTGGAGTTGAATCTTGCTGTTGATAATTATTAAGTAGTTTTAACTTTAGATTAAACTAAACCAAAAGATAAATTATGACTTCAAATGAATTGTGACTGGGAATTGGAAGATTATGAAAAAAAATTCTAAACTTTCACCTTATATTGCCTGTTGACAAAAATGAGTAGACGCTCAATAAATGACAAATTACATGCGGTTATGATGAAAAACATGAGAAATAGTCTCAGACTGACTAGTGATAGAAAACTGTCATGGTAGAAGTTTGCTCAACAAGCTAATTTTAGAATAATTTTAGATATAGGTTTTCTTGATATATTTTTTACTTTTATCATTAAATCTCAACCTTCACTTTGTTTTGAGGGATCCAAGTGAAGGCGAAGCCAGTGGCAGAACCGACACCTCAAGGTGAGGAGCCACTATTAATACTTCGCTGCTAGGTCCCTGTGTGTGAAAACGTACTTTTGAAATACTTCGAGCACTTAATGGTCATGAATAGATCTAATAACTAGATAGCATGCATATTTTAGATTTTTATATTGGGGTGGGTTTTCATAACATTACCTAGCATTCAAGTCAGTCAACTTTAAGTTTGTTTTCCAAACATGCATTGGAATTGTGTACTTGGTAAAAAAAATAGGCTTTCTGTTCTATAAAGTATGTCAAGCTGAAGAATTAATAGATTAAATGTCCTGATATTTTTCTCACTAAAGTAATGTAACTAAAATTAGTGTGAGTCAAATAGCACAAATAACACAGAACAGGGAAGGAAGATTTGATGTTAGTAATATATTTTAGGTGAGAATTCAATGTTTGACCACATTTAAAAATTCTATCCTGCCATACTTTTAGGGATTTCTTTTTTTGACATTTAATGCTAGTTGTATATTCATTCTGGCAATGGGTTTCATATCTGAGCACAATCAGAATTACAGGGAAGACTTGATAAAAAGATTACTGGATCCCACACCCAGGGTTTCTGATTCAGGGGCTGAGGCAGGTGCCTATGCATTTACATTTCTAACAAGTCCCCAGGAGATGCTTATGCTGCTGTTCTAGGGACCACATTATGGACATGTTAGTACTTGTGTTAATATTTTACAAATGGGAAATTTAAGAAATGAAGGCATTAATTTATTTTGAGTGTACACAAGCCTTAAGGGTTGCAACGTAAATTTTACAACCAACAAGTATTCCACAGTATGAAAGACTCTGGCTTCATTCAGAAACGATTGTGACCAGCTGAACACAAGCCTCCAGTTTGATTTCTACTTTTCAAATTACTTAAAATATAAAACATAATTAACTTTGGGAAAACTATAGCATTCCCATGTAGTCTTTTTTAACAAACTGTGCTATATTTATATTTAGTAATAATAGTTGAAATGTTTCTTTGTAGAGTTAGGTACCTGAGTCACCATGGTACGGAGCCACAGGGGAGCAAGACGAATATTCTTCACTTTCTTCTGCCTTTTGCATAAACATGGAGGACTTGTTCTTAGCCTCTTCCTCACTTAGTCTTCACTTTTGAGCCCCTCCTTGCATTTCATCCTATATTTCCACTAAATTTCCCTCTGAGACATTTAGTAGTGTGTGCGTTGCAAGTGGCCATTAATAGTTACATTTTTATCCTTTTATACAACTACATAATTTTATTGCATGATAAGAATTAGTAACTGATCTTTTATAAATGTTTACACAATACTTTTCACATTCCGTTTTGTTTGGTTGTTGTTGGGTTTGGTTCTATTTTTGCTTTTGAACTAACTTATTGAATACTAACTATAAAGTACTTTCTGGTCATTTAATTTTCACAACTAGGTGAAAATGCCTATTTTACAGATGGAAAAAAAACAGCAAGGAACATAGGTGGGATCAAGCCAGTTATAGTGAGGTTCTGTCATTTCAGGAAGATGGGGTGATACTGTGGTTAGAAGTACAGCTTCTCAGCCAGAGTGCATGGGTTTCAGCTGTGTTCTACCACTTACTTTACTGTGTGGCTTTGGGGAAGTTACTTCAACTCTGTGTGCCTCCATGTCCTCACTCTACCTGCCTCCTAGGATTGTTCTGAGGGGTAAATGAGTAATTAATACATTTTAGGCACTTAGGGCAGTTTCTGCACCTAGGATTGTTCTGAGGGGTAAATGAATAATTAATACATTTTAGGCACTTAGGGCAGTTCCTGCACCTAGTAAATACTCAATAAATGTTAGTTGTTATTATATTAATATGCACATTTCCAGGAGCTTTCTAGAATTGACATTATCAGTGGCAATGTCTGTGAGACCGTGCAAAAAAAATTTTATTGTCTTAAAGTCATCTTAAGGTGGAATAGAAGGAAACTAGACTTAGAATAATACCCCTGAATTCTAGTCTTTACTTTTCAACTCATTAGCTCTATAAGTTCAGAAAACTAATTTTTTTTTTTTTTTTTTTTTTTTTCTGAGACAAAGTTTTGCTCTGTTGCCTAGGCTGGAGTGCAGTCACACGATCTCAGCTCACTGCAACCTCTGCCTCCCGGGTTCAAGCAATTCTCCTGCCTCAGCCTCCCGAGTAGCTGGGATTACAGGCGCGTGCCGCCACACCTGGCTAATTTTTATATTTTTAGTAGAGACAAGGTTTCACCATGTTGGCCAGGCTGGTCTCAGACTCCTGACCTCATGGTCCTCCCACCTTGGCCTCCCAAAGTGTTGGGATTACAGGTGTGAACCACAGAAAAGTAATTCTAAGTTTTCCAGCCATCAGTTCCGTCTTTAAAATGAGTGCTCAGTCAACTGATCTCTCAAGTCCCTTCCAGCATGCCAAATCCACCAGAATTATACATGTGACCTTGGTAAATGACTCTGGTTGGCTTGCAAGCCCTAAGAGGCCTGTGATGTAATGGCTTAGATTCAGTGGGCAAAAAGAGAAAAATAGAGAACATGAAGTACATACTTCCCATACTTATTAATAGTCTTTGGAAATTTATTTTCTCTACCTATTCCTTTCCTTATTTTCTCAAGACTGCATAGTTTGCAGAGCTTTGGGGACTCAGATACCTAGGCCCAGACACCTAGAAATGAAATAAATAATATATATATAAAATTATACATGAATATATATTATACTGTTGATATAAAATGTATATATATTAATTTAAAATATTTATGCAGTAGATTATAAACTCCTTTCAAGGTACTTTTTTTTTTTCTTAAATCACAGAAGTGAGATAGGTTAACAAGTTGCAGTGTAACATCTCTATTTGGATAATTGTTCAAGAAATTTAATTACAGGATTTTCTGTATCACGAATGATCTATTAACTTTGATGAAGCTATGTAGGTTTCTTCCTATGACTATTTGAAATAGGTTTTTTGTTTCCATATTACTTGTGGGATGCCTGCAATAAGTAAAATTCAGTGAGATTTAGTCATTTAACAAATATGTTAATGATTACTATTTACCCAGCACAGTTCTAGATGCCTGAGATAGATCAGTGAATGAAATAGACAAAATTCCTTGCCCTCCTGGAGTTTACAACCTAATGATAGACTCAGGCAGTAAACACCCTAACAAATGGATTAAATAATATGTTAGAATGTGTAAGTGCTATAGAGAAAAATTAAAGCAGGCTAAGGGGGGTTGGCCATGCTAGGATAGGAGTTAGGGTACAGTAGGGCGGTAAGGGGAAGCCTCGTGAAGAAAGTGAGCAGAGATTTGAAAAAAGTAAAGGAGTTAGCGTCACAGCCATCTGGGGAGAAGCATTCATGACAGAGGGAACAGTCTGTGCAACAGCCTTATAGCAAGAACATAACCCGTGTGTTCCAGGAATAGCATGGAGGCCATTGTGTTCTGATAGGAGTGAGGAAGGAGAAAAATTCTAGGAAATGGGATGGGGAGAGTAGAAGTTGGAGTGCAAGTCATGGGGAATGTTGTAGACTGTTTTAAGGATGTCTTTAGTGAAATGAGAAATCACTGGAGGACACTGAGACATGTGGTATAATCTAACGTCTTTACATAATTGCAGTACAACATTCTTTCTCAACTTTATCAGGTAAACGAATTATCTTTCCCTCTGAAGTTATTATATTCCTCCTATCCAAAAAGGCAGAAATTTTTTTTATATTTCAAAAATGTGTATTTCCAAATAGAATATTAGTGGTCCCTATTTTGTGTGTGCTTGAACAGAGAAATATGGAACTGAAGAAGGTATTAAGTTCTTCACTTTCAGTTGCAGACGTGTTTCCCTCAAGCCACTTATATTTAAGAAAAATGCTATTTTAGATTGACAATATTAAAAGTCAAAACAGATGGCATCTTGGGGTGTGTTTCTGTAACAGCAAGATAACGTAAATCTTGGCGTCCATCTGAGGGTAGTCTGCAAATTAGGTAGTTTTATTAGGCACTGAATTATGACCACTTAGATTTTATGTGCGTTTTGATCTCTTTGCTGAGTGAAAAATTTGTTTTCATTCTTTCCCGTTGCCCTCTTCTTCCAGAAGTACATCAGGGGAACCAAAAGAAAGAGACAAGGAAGAGGGTAAAGATTCTAAGCCGCGTTCTTTGCGGTTCACATGGAGTATGAAGACCACTAGTTCAATGGACCCTAATGACATGATGAGAGAAATCCGAAAAGTGTTAGATGCGAATAACTGTGATTATGAGCAAAAAGAGAGATTTTTGCTTTTCTGTGTCCATGGAGATGCTAGACAGGATAGCCTCGTGCAGTGGGAGATGGAAGTCTGCAAGTTGCCACGACTGTCACTTAATGGGGTCCGCTTCAAGCGAATATCCGGGACATCTATTGCCTTTAAGAACATTGCATCAAAAATAGCAAATGAGCTTAAGCTGTAAAGAAGTCCAAATTTACAGGTTCAGGGAAGATACATACATATATGAAGTACAGTTTTTGAACGTACTGGTAATGCCTAATGTGGTCTGCCTGTGAATCTCCCCATGTAGAATTTGCCCTTAATGCAATAAGGTTATACATAGTTATGAACTGTAAAATTAAAGTCAGTATGAACTATAATAAATATCTGTAGCTTAAAAAGTAGGTTCACATGTACAGGTAAGTATATTGTGTATTTCTGTTCATTTTCTGTTCATAGAGTTGTATAATAAAACACGATTGCTTAAAACCTTGTATAGTTGTCTAGATTTCTGCACATGAATGTACGTTTGATGCTTTGATTTGAAAATGTTCTTCCCTGTTACTTACATTCTGGTGGGTTTTTTAAATTCTTACCTCCATCATGCAATTTTGAAAATTGTGTCCAGAATTAAAAGTGCATAGAAATAGTCTTTACAAAGTTGTAGCATGGACCTTTAAAAATTGTTTTAAAATCATATTTAAATTTAAACCAGAAGCTGAAAAATAGATCAGCTTTATTATACACAAAATTATTACTGCTTATCTTTGCTCTTTTCCTTGTTATCCCACAAGGTTTAGTTGAGAAGATACAAAATGTTTACAGTGTTGGCACTTAAGAGTTTTTAAATTCAAGTACATGAAATTCAATAATAGCATTGCCTTGAGCTAACTAAGAAGTACTGGGGAAAAAGTTAAATCTACATCAAGTTTCTTTTGAACTTTGAAGTGTTTTCTGACCCACTGCTAATTGTAGCAACAAAATTTAAAAGGAAAAAAAACATACTTTATCTGGCTATTATAACATAAATTGTCACGTAGGTTTGCTGCCTTCAGCATACCGCAATATAATTGCGGGAATATAATAATATTGGGACTGTTTCGTAGCACAAACTCATCTTTACAGTGTTGATCAATGCATCAGTTAAGAAATAATGCCACCTCAGGAATTAACTGGCATTGGAAACATTTGCCTCATTCTCCTCCTATCCTCTTCATTCACCCCTGCCACTGTAATATCTATAAGTACTTAAGAGACTTGTGAGCAAAACATACTATTTATAACAGTATATTATTGATTTATGCTTATGTGGTTGTTGAGTTTGTTCCCATGTAACTCGTTTGTTTTAAATATTTTGCCAGATTTCTTGTATTTATTCCACATCATTATGCCTATAATGTGCCGCTTTGTGATTGGGCATTTGCCTACTTTTCTTTCATAATTAGTGATATATGCGATGTAAAACCACTAGTAAAGGTACATTTTAATACTTGTTATTTTATACTGAATTAGCCTTGGAGGTTGACTGTGCAATGTTATTTACTGTTGTAATTACTGTAATATCAACATATGGGCCCCATCTGCACACTCCTGAAAAATAGAAAGTGTATTCAAATTTTATCAGTTTAAAGAAAATAAAGCTGTGATAAATACTGTAATTCCAACCTACATTAGAAGGTCTAAGTGTAGGTGATGTGCCATTCCATAATGGCTTCCAGACTAGGGTGAATTTTACATTCTGTACTGTACTGTGATGTAGCTTTCTTCTGTAACAGTTATGTTCTAAAATTAAGTGAGGTTTTGTTTTTTGTTTTTTTTTTGCCTTAGCAAAGGGTGGTGTTTGAAAAAAAAAAAATGTGTAGCCCCTTTTTAACCTAGTGTTCATTCAAAAAAAAATTGATGCAAATCTTTATTCACTTTCACTGGTGCACACTGAAATTTTACTTGAACAGTTCTCATAATAAAGCACTTGTCTTTTGCTCTTTATCAGAATGTGAATTACCTGTTTTCTAGTACAAAAGTAATCTGTATGAGGAGTTTATTGTATGTGTTCTAAATTTAGTTGGCAAAAGGTGAAGCTGTGAAGGTTTTCAAGATTATTGAAGCTATGAAGGTTTCTTGTCATTATGACAAGAATATTTAATCTTTTTATAGGAATTCCTGTCACTGAAATACTTTTTTAAAAAAATAGACCTCCTGCTGTGTTTTCCACGGTAGAAACTGATGTTTTTTTACATTTTCTCACTGTGGCCAACTCTTCTGTGTTTGTAGAAAGGAATTTGACTTCAATATCTTTTATGAACTAAAAATGAAATCTTGATACTCACTTTAGATTTTTCGTTTTATATGTTCATGACAACAAATATTTTTCAAAGGTTTAGAGGAATTTTGCAATATGTTTGCATAAATAAATACCAGTTTATGTTCACTGGCTATGTGATACCAGGATTTCCTTGGCTTCTGTTGAAATATTATTTGATATGACATCCCTTATATTAAATTAATTATTTTGTGGAAACTGGGGCACAGCATTTTATTTGTTAAATGAAAAGAATAAGATTAAATATACTCCAGAACCTTGATTCAATATATTCTCTAAGATAGAATTTGATTTAAAACCTAGAAGACCTTATTTTGAGGTGATTTTCACCAACAGTGTCATTTCACACCATGGGGCTGGGGAGCGGGGAAGCATACAGTGAGCAGCAGGGCCAATTTACTGTAAACTAGTGATTCCATTAGCCTGTGCAAATTAATCAAGATGACCTCTGCCTTCATTTTCAAAATATCTATTGAAATACCTACTTTGTCTTAAGATACATAAAAAAAAATTATAAAAGATAGTTCCAACTCTCTGAAATTTTGTTCCATTCGAAAAGATAAATGTAAATATATGCACAACTAAAACATACACACACACAGACACACAGAGGAAACGGAAAGCGCTCAAACAAGCGCAGATAATAGATGCTATAGAAATTCAGAGAAGAGTGAATTCTGTATGAACATTGGAAAGACAGGTCTTTTAAGGGATTTAAAGAGTGGGTAAAATTTAAGAGACAATAGAAAAGATCCTACAGATGGAAAAAAGGCTTCAAGTTAGTAATAGCGCTAAGACATGTTAAAAATAAACCACATATTCTAGGAAGTGGCAGGGTTCACATAGCTTGATTAATAGCTGATTACATAAAGCATCAATTGGCAGTCTCAGCTTGGACTTGATCTATGGATAGAGGGGAGAAATTAGGAGGTTTTTTTACGCCAAGGAAGTACCTAATAAATTGGTTGTTAAAGAATGGCTCATTAATTCAGCAAGTTTGTTGAGTGCCAGTGTACATTAGTGTCTAGGTTCTAGGAAATAGCAGTAAAAAAAAAAATGTATCATAGAAATGTATGAACTGGATTAAAGATTAGAGGCAGGAAGATCTTTTCAGAGGTTAAAACAATAAAGCATGAATGAAATAGCATAGATGTGGGATGGTTAACACAGGGTGGAAAAAGGTAAAAGGAGAGAGACATTTCAAAAGATATATCAACAAGATATATGAGAGACATTTCAAAAGATGTATCAACAAAGTATCATGGGCCGAGTACAATGGCTTATGCTTGTAGCCCCAACACTTTGGAAGCCCTAAGTGGGTGGATCGCTTGAACTCAGGTGTTCAAGAACAGCCTGGGCAACATGGTGAAACCCTGTCTGTAGAAAAAAATACAAAAATTAGCCCAGCATGGTGGCATGCACTTATAGTCCTAGCTGCTTGGGAGGCTGAGGTGGGAGGATCGCTTGAGCCTAGGAGGCAGAGGTTGCAGTGAGCTGAGATCATGACACTGCACTCCAGCCTGGGTGACAGAGTGGTCCCTGTCCCCCCTTCCCCTCCAAAAAAAACAAGGTGTCATGAATAGGATTCACAGACTGTAAGAAAGATGATTTGGTGGGAGCAGAGCTTCCTGGCATCGGATTCAAGTTTTCAGCTTGCATTTTAAGACTTCCACTTTCACTTCACGTGGAGTAACAAGTACCAGATTTACTCTCCCACCTGAGACAATGAAGAAACAAGATGAGATATATGTAATAATTTCACAGAATGTTTTCATCAGAATAAAAATTTTTATTGGCTGTTAGTCCATGAAGAACAATGATCCTTGAGAGGAAAACAAACAAAATGACTTCTGTGATTGGCCCAGCATGTGGCACAGGGAGAGGAAAATGAAGTTGGAGCCTGGCATTCTCTCTGGTTAAGAAGTCAGAACTGAGAGGCCAGGGAGGCCAAGACAGCTAGAGTCTGCAGGGAAGAGGCAGGTGGAGGGATACCAAAGAAACAGCTCTGGAGATCTGCAGAAATCAGCACATGAATGTAAGAAAACTGTATGAGGCCAGTGAAAGAACCACCTGAAAGTATTAGAAGGAACAATTCATCGAACCTCATGCAAGGGTAATGCCTAGTCCAACCAGCCATTTGTAGAAAACAATTCATGGAGCAGTGGGCGTAGTACTCAGAAGAGTTTTGCCTCAGTAGTGGGAACTACTTAGCACTAACACTGCCTTGGTACTGCTTAACAAAAGCCATATCCAGAAGGATAAGGGTTTCTTAGTAACAACTATGTCCCAGAACAAAGCTCAAGAATACAGTAATAGAAAATGTGCCAGGCGCGGTGGTTCACACCTGTAATCCCAACACTTTGGAAGGCTGAGGTGGGTGGATCGCCTGAGCTCAGCAGTTTGAGACCAGCCTGGCCAACATGGTGAAACCCCATCTCTACTAAAAATACAAAAATAAGCCGGGTGTGGTGGCACACGCCTGTTATCCCAGCTACTCAGGAGGCTGAGGCGGATAATTGCTTGAACCTGGGAGACAGAGGTTGCAGTGAGCCGAAATCGTGCCATTGCACTCCAGCCTGGCCAACAGAGCGAGACTCTGTCTCAAAAAAAAGAAAAAA